GACACCGCTACATGAAGTTCCAACTACGGTAACTCAGTTTGTGATAATCAGGCATTTTCTTATCACATTCGTTTTTATTGAGTTAGAAAAAGCCACGGGTCTCACGAAATCAGTTATCCTTAGCAAATAGTAATTTATGCTGTGCATCCATTCCATTTTCATCGCACAATTCGTTTCTTTCTTACACTGTCGCGAATACTAACGCTGTTTTCGCTGCGCGCACTTGTTGGCGATATTTCATTCAGCTCTAGAGCAATTATCGGACTGGAAATTGCGTATGACCATGAGATGAACAGATTTCATAAGTGCATTCCAAACAGCATTGCTCTTCTCTGTGAACACAGAGACAGAAGTGCGTGGGATTTGTTGTTTCGCATAATGTTAGCCTTTACAATCCTGCTGTTCTGGTCAAAGTAGTCGTTGTAGGGCGCTTGTGCGTACCCATTTTCTCAGTGTGCATGGTCCTTTCTGTTGAATTTCGTATTTCTCTCTTCGCTGAATTTCTTCTGTTTTACTATATAAACTGCCATCTTAGTTTGTTGGCCTGCACAGTACAGATTTCGGCCTGTAGATTTGACGTGGCCGTCGCCGCACTTGATAAAAGCGTGTGGATAAGGCTGTTTCTAACATACTCCGCTGGATATCAGCAAAGCATGCTGGAAGCAGCTTAGCGCAACTTCTATCAAGTGCGGCGGCCGCCACGTCAAACCCATAGACACGCCTAATCAGACTTCGAGATATGAGTATATGTACCCTACCTAAAAAAACGAGAAGAGTATCGGGTGCAGACCATACACCACATGTGATGACGGCCTCCAAGTATGGTTAGTAGTGAGTGATTCATAGTGATGGCTTATTTTTGATTGATTGGTGACAATCGGAAACAACTGCAGCAATGCATTTCATTCGCAGAAAACATGTACATTTCGTGGAGACCGTCGTCACTTGTGGTGTATGGTCTGCACCCGACGCTCCCCGTGTTTTGAAAGGTCTCAGGACATCTGTCAACCGTGAGCCTTGGCGGTTCAGCGTTTTGTAGTGATGTCTGGGAGCTCTCACAAGTGCACACTATCACAGCATCTCCTCTTTCTTTATCTTCTTCAAAAGGCTTAGTCCCAATAAGACACAAAGTGTGTGCTTTTCCAGCTACGCTCTCACCCTTTGGTTGACAGAAGCCTTGTAACCGTTTTGAAATGGAGTATATGTCTGTCTGCAAAATTAAATGATAAGGAGCCTACGGAATAAACAAACCGCTGACAAAAGCAAGGAGCTCGCAGGACTTGCGCTATCAATGTTTTGCAATGGCATGATTGTGGTAACACCCCCAACGGCTATAATGACACCTACTGCGACTCGGTCATTCCACGTGAGGCGCTTTGGCAGCAGTGGAGGGAGGAGAGAGAAGGAAGGCCAGCCGCTAACAAACCCAACGCCCAGTTATGTGTTGAGATGTCATTCCAACCTCATATCATGAGTGTGGTAATGCTCCATACTGCATAGAACACCTTTTTGTGCATATTTATCCGTTATACGAGGTGTTCATCTTCACAAGTGGAAGTTAGCGCAGTGGAAGAAGTAAAGGTTGCGAAGGGAAAGGAGGTCCCGGCGGTTGCCTGGGAACAAATTTGGTAACTAATGTAAAGTAATTGGTGGAAATTTCAGTGGGTTATTTCATTGCTTGGTTTTCCATCTATAAAAGAAAAGAACTTATAAGTTCCTACTTGGGATGAACACCACTTGTTCTAAGCGAACGATATGCAGGTTACGGCTGAAAGAGCCTTTTGCGGTCGTCACGGTTGGGTTGAAGCCATTCGTTTTACGCGGAAGAAACAAGAAAATGTTTCTGCTCAACAAACTGGTTATTTCCACGATTTGTCGTAAACGATCCACGTTTTTTCTCGAAAATTTGCGCAATTTTGCAAAGGTGACGTGGCTAATCTCGCAGGTTTCTCCGAGCCTCTCTCATTTCTCTTTAGCTCTCCTTCAAGTAAACACCTCCTTAATTTGCTCCTACAATTTTTTTGAGGGAGAATTTCTATGGTGGTGGTTGTTTATCTGGATTTCGAATAACTTATAAAGTTTCCATTTTCAGCCCGTTACTCCATCATCATCGGTCTCAGAACAGTTACCAATCTTTGAGGATAAGAAGCCGTGTTGCGATCAAGTACCACAACAAGTGCAATCACAACATCCACCACCTCTTTCGAGGTGCGCTCCTACTTTGCTACACCTTCAAAATACTATTCTGGAACAACTGCACCAATTCCTCTTTCAGACCAAATATCCCCTTGACCGCTCGTCAAAAAGGTCTCGTTGTCACTCATTTCGATACCGGTGCCTCATTGGACGAGTTGGCTGCCAAGTTTCGGGTTTCAACTGAAGATGTACGTGTGTTTGCCGAGTTTTTCACTTGAAGTTGGGATTTTTCTTAGATTTTTTTAGTCCTCACGTCTTTGGGGGGGGGGACATTCAGTAAAGATAAAACCGCTGGTATGTGACACTAGGACCAAGCTCAAGAAAGGAGAACGCCAGGGAGAACAAAAATTGCTGTCATGTTGTCCCAGATCTTTACCCTCCCTATAACGTAGTCCCTGTTAATGTCAGTGGGACCAATCACCTGAATATCCCCTCAACGACATGAGCTCCTTTTTTTTTTCTTGGTACCCTGGTATTGTGGTTGAATCGCTGACCTCTTGATAATTTCTAGATAGAGTACATTATATCGAATCGTGCTGAAGTAATTCGTGACCAAACGGCTGCGCTAATGGCTGAAAACGACATGGATGATGATCGTGACCGAAGTGTCAGTGGTGCAAGGAAAAAAAGTAGGGTGAGTTTTTAGGTTAGAAAATGAAGTTCGCATCGCTCCTGCAGCGATAGGGTGTGCGGCTTTCAGGTGCGTCGAACGTCATTCGTAGGTCTGAATATCCTAATGTGGCGATTCTTCAAAGACTGTCGTGACAACGGCATTGTTTTGAACGGAAAGTTGCTGAAAGAACATGCCATGATGATTTCACGTCAGCTAGGTTTGTCTTCAAAACTCAATATTTTTCGCAAATGAGAGACAGACCGACTTTTTTGATCTGTTCGAGAGACGCACTATGCTTCGAATGTTAGTTTGTTAGGCGTCTTCCATTTCAGGGCTTGAGAACTTCAAAGGCTCAGAAGGCTGGTTGGATGCATTCAAGCGACGCCACCGAATTGATCTCAAGCTCATGTCTGGTGTGCCGGTAAATTACGAAGAAACTGATGACGATAAAATGGAAGATGATCACGAAGACAATCAGAATACAGCGAGACAGCTCAACTCTTCACAGGTCCTAAGTGAAGGTGCGTGAGACCTCCGATGTTACTTCTTTGGCATGCCGAAGGAATGGTTAAGCAAAAGTCTAGATGTGATGAGAACAAGAAACACTTGGTGACTTCCTAAACATTGACTGCGCTCCTGCAGCGAGCATGAGATCAAAAGCATGAGTTTCCGTTGGGCTCACGAATGACAAGTACAATAATAATGCATTATGTTCTGGCGCTAGTGTTCTTGAAGTGACGAAAATTAGACCGGCAGCTGTGTGCTCCAGCCATCTTCACAAAATTCTCTGCTTGAGGGAATTCTTTCCGGAAACTTCTCGCGTTTTTTTTTTCGAGCATGGTTGTGTCAGTTGAGAGCACTAGAGGCAATACACAAAGTTTCAAGCATGAGGAATCAATTTCCAAGACACAAACTCGCAAAAACCACACTTCGGATAGTCGAGGGTAGCTCGCGCAGCGCCAATGCCTGTGCATGGAAAGAAGTGCGATTGGGGCGGCACACGCATCAGGCGACGCAATCAGCACAGTCATGTTGATTCAACGTTCTGGTTTGCGCTTCACATTCAATTCCAATTCTGAGACGTATGAGATTAGCACTTGACCTAATGCGATAGATTAGGGCAGAGCTGTGAAACTGGTGATTTGGAAGTCTTTTCAAACAAGTTTGTCGCCAGTTGAACCACCTCATTTTGAACAGAGGATGGGAGAAGTACGACACGGCGGGTAAGTCTTAGCCATGCTCACAGCGCTCTCACAAATGACTGACATGCAATACAAGGTTCCTTCGACTGTTATACCAATTCCGCATCTTACCTGATCTGCACAGATTTTCTTGAAGACAGTGATCACCATGGCTGGAGGGTGGTGCGGTTTTGGTGGCGTCACTGGATGAATTGGTGGAGTGTTGAGAGTCGGTTCTAGCCACATCCCTCAGCACGCTAAGCGGTTGAGTCTACCAGCAACGTTTAGTGGCTTCATCATAGCCGCACCGACCTCCATCCATTGTGGTCTCTGGCTTTGAACAAAAACTCATTTTCGCGATCAGGCTGCAATGGGGTTAAAATAAGTGTTGCAGGAACAACAGCAGCGTTGCTGGACTGCGTTGAGAAAGCGGTCGCTCCACCAAAACCAAGTGCGCCTCCTGTTGCCGTTGTCAGCATTGCAAACACTAAGCCTCTTGATTTGAATAACCTTTTTGGAAGAAATGAAACTGCGAGTGCAGGTACTTGAATTTCAATGATGCCTCTGCTATTATAAGTTTCTTGAATTGTAATGAAAGATGACGGTTTAGACTCTCTGGACTCACTCTCTAA